CCCTATTCACCCGCTCGACCTGCCCATTTGACTGCGGAGACGCTACAGCGTTCAAAACGTGTTCTATATGATGCTGCCTACAAAACTCCCTAAACTCAACAGAAGTGAAACAAGACCCTCTATCACTGATAATTCTTCGGGGCCGGCTGTAATCGGTAAAGTACTTGCGCAACGCACATACGGTCTCTTTTGTACTAGTGTTTATACCGTATAATTTAAAGAACTTGGTAAATGAATCTACGACCACCAGAACATGCCGGCGCTTAGACCTCACCGTTTCCAGAGGACCAAAATTATCGATGTGTAGAGTATCCCATGGTTCGGGCTTCTTTCGAATACTATACAAACACCTTTCATTGCTTCTAGCCTGGCCTGAATAATAAATGCACTTCAAACAATTAGCTAGGAAACTCTTAACCTTTTTTCTCAACCCCGGAAACCAATAGTGTTTCTTTATCTGGTCGACACATTTATCCACCGCTAAATGACCATACGTCTCATGTACTAGTCGAATCACATTATTTTCTATCTCCCTAGGTACGTAGAGTTGTCGTCTACCATCCTCCACATGGAACACCAGTCCGTTCTCCATGTCAAATCCAGACACCTCAGCCACTTCCAACTTCTTTTTCAACTCTTTAATTTCCGGGTCTCTCATCTGAGCTATCTGAATGTTAACGTCTACTTCACTTTCTTCCACTGTGCCTACACACGTTGACCTGCTTAGTGCGTCCACATGTGCCATCTGCTCTCCTGACCGATGTTTAATCTTGAAATCAAATTCTGCCAAGGCTAGGGACCACCGAGCAATCCGTGGATTGATCTGTTTCTTACTCAGAGCCAATACCAATGAATTGCAGTCTGTCACAATGGTGAACGGGATTCCATGGACAAATACTCTAAATCGCTCCAGAGCCCTAACTATTGCCAACGTTTCCAGTTCGAAGCTATGGTAACGCGTCTCGGCATCTGTGGTGCTTCTTGAAAAATATGCTATTGGATGGAACTTATGGTCCGACTGCTTCTGCAGCAAGACGGCCCCATATCCATGCGCACTGGCGTCTGTGTGTAGCTCAGTCTCACGATTCGGGTCAAATATACTCAGAACGGGCGACTCCGCCAGTCGGTTCTTTAGAGTCTGAAAGGCGTCCTTGCACTGGGCTGTCCACTCGAATCGGACATCTTTACCCAGCAATCGACTAAGTGGTTTAGCTATTCGCGAAAAATTTGGTACGAATCTCCTAAAATAGGAAAATAACCCAAGGCACCGTTGTACTTGTTTGGCCGTCTGTGGTTCACTATATGTTTTGATGGCTTCTACCTGTCTTTTGCTGGGGCGGATTCCTTTACAACTGACCCTATAACCTAAATACTCCAACTCTTGATACGCAAATTTGCATTTATCAAAGTTCAGTTTCAATCCTGCCTCCGCAAGTAATCGTAACACTCGCCCTAACACTTCACTATGCTCCTTAATGGTGCCTGTGGCCACTAGAATGTCATCTAAGTAGACCACCACTTCCCCACGGCTAATCAACGGCTTCAGAACTTGGTTCACCAGTCTTTGGAAGACAGCCGGGGCGTTAGTCAACCCAAATGGCACAAAGTTGTACTCATATTGCCCCATCGGTGTCACAAAAGCTGTCAACGGTATTGAGTCTACATGCATCGGAATCTGATGGTACCCATTTCGTAAGTCCAACGTACTAAAATAACTTTTCCCTGCCAGGTACGTTAGACAGTCTTCAATTAAGGGTAACGGGAACCGATCTTTAATAGTTATTTTATTTAGCTCTCTATAGTCTACACACATCCGTAACTTCCCATCCCTTTTCCTAACTAGCACTATCGGCGACGCATACGGGGACTCACTGGGTCTTATAATCCCTTGCAACAATAAACTGTCAATTATTTCTTGCACTTCCTTTTTCTCTTTAAATGACAGTCTCCGTGGAACGCTATACACAGGAGTGTCACTTTTCACCGAAATCTTCATAAAGTAACTTTTCAACATTTTACCTTCCACTACTTCTGTATATTGTTTAAGAATTACCCTTTCTACTGCGTCAGCATCTGCTCTTGTCAACTGATCACTTATATCGTATGGTCTCAATGGAACGTTCCTCCCGCCCTCACTGTCTAACTCCTCCTCTGTCACCTCGTCGGTCTCAACCAACGCCAGCTTTTCCCCACTTTCATCAAGCAGATTTCCCTCGCTGGGTGCAGCTCTTACAAAATTTGTATCCGATTCCTTTGAAATTTTAAACAAGTTAAGTGCACTGAAAATGTCATTAACATATTTATTCGTTGCTATTTTATTGCGCAAATCAAGTAATTCATTTAAATCATACTTTACATTAATAATTTTAAATAAATTAATGCCCATTCGGCTCAAAATGTCTCGTCCGAATAACCAAGGTACTATTGCTTGGTCATCGGGTAAAATTAAAAACTTATGTTTAACTTCACTTCCCCGAAATAAAACTTTACACGTAATCGTTCCGTACGTAAATAATCGTTTATTTCCAACGCCTCTGTATATAGTTGATTGTTGTTTATTAATAAAGCCAGAAGGCACACAGGACTTCCGCACAAAGCTAACCGGACTGCCGGTATCAAAGAGAACATAACAATAGGTTGGTTCAGTGCACTTATCCTGTAAATAAAAGGCAACACTCACCCAATTTTTTGCAGTAAGTTGCTCCACTACTCTACGTACTAGACGATCTTCCAGATTTTCGTCTGTTGCTTCTACTGCTGTCACGGCCGCCGCTACTCCTCTGGTCTTCTTTTCCGGGCAATCGAATCGAGTGTGCCCTACTTCATTGCACACAAAGCAAGCATTTGGATGGCGTCTGGGTGCCGTACAGGCGCTTTGGAAATGCCCGTACGCGAAGCAATTAAAACAGCGGACATTTTCTTGTTTAATTGCACCGCCCTGGGTGCTACCAGCTGCTGCTCCTTCCTTTTGTTTTCCGCCAGTGGATGTATTAGCGAACTGAGTTTTGATTCGCTTCTTTTTCTCATATCGTTCCATTAGTAACTTCAATTCGGCTACAGTGGTGGCACTGTAAAGCATCGATACCTGCGATGACTTGTCCTGGAGACCATCGATTATTATATCGATTAATTCCAGTTCTGGAATGTTGGAGCGACTAGCGATAAGCTGCATCTCGATAATGTATTGTCGGGGCGTTTCGTTTGACTTCATCGTGCGTGCTTTCAATTGCGCAAACACATCCTGCATAGAAAATGCCCTTTCGAACTCCTGCAATAATGCCGCTTTAAGCTCCCCATACGATCGCACCGTTATGATGGATGCAAAACGCTTCGCTTGCCCAGTCATTAAGTGGCGGGCTGCCACTAGCTTGTCGCGTTCAGCATAATTGTACGCTTCGAAGACGTTCTCTAGGTCACCAGTCCACTTGCGTACGTCTTGTAGCTCCGAGCCATCGAACTTGACGACCATAGCATCCAGAATGGCCAGGTATAAACGTTTCTCATTGACGCCCAGCTCCTGTTGCAATATTTGCAGCTCTCGCCTTTTGCGGGCAATGGCTAGCTGTCGGTTTAGTAGCTCTTCTTCTTCCTCAGCTTCAGATAAACGCTGACGGGCCGTAGACGGCGACGAGCGCTCCGACCCCACTGGAGGCGGTTGCTCCAGAAGCTGGCGGCGCATAGTTGTTGGTGCCTGTATCGCATCCCCTTGTTGTTGCACGTCTGGCTGCTGAAAAATTTGCGGGCGCTGCTGTGGTACTGCTGGCTGCTGTGGAGCATCTGGCTGCTGTGGTGCATCTGCCTGCTGTAAAGCATCAGGGCGTTGCTGCTGAGGTAGGCTGCCGCGTTGTGCCCTTTCGTAGAGCCCACGGAGTTGCACCAAAGTGGCTTCATTATCAAAAGCCACTCCCGCATCTGCAAGTGCAGCCATAATCTGGTTTCGCGTCATTCTAGCTGTCATTGTCGGCTTTTCCGCGAATATAATAAGTATTGTCGATTTCGCTGGTCACGTGGAGTATAAGCCTCACACCTGAATTTATAATCCGAATCGGATGATGAATTTATTTTTAGATTAACTTCTGTCACATGTGGACAGAATCGCACCGATCGAAATAATAATCAAATTACACCGGAAACAGTTGAACTGTCATTTTTCGACCACCACCATTTCGAGGAGACCGGGGTTGCCACCCAAATCGTGGTTGCCACTCGTGAGGCGTTACATTAGATGTACTACAAATCAAAAGTTTTTTTACGAGACGTAACTCTACATTATGTTATTCTGAGTTTTGGTATAACATAAAACATCCAAAGGTTAATCAAGTGAACCAAATACATAACTCAAAACTGATAAATTGGTACATTCATGTTTCTGGCATGAGGGTGACGATATGTACATAGCCGGATTGATTATGAGATTCTTGTTTTTTTACCTCCCTTTTATTAGCTCGGGATGTAACTATGTAATATTGATGCGCCTAAAAAATGCAGCGATTTCTATGCTCAAGTTACATACCTGATCACAGTACGAATGGAAATTATAATTGCGAGGTTTTTTAAACTATAATTTTTTATTCTTCTCCACAGAGCTGGGCGATAAGGATTACATGTGTAATCGATTGCATCTAGGACTACGATTATTTTAATCGCAATTTCAAAAATTATTAAATTAATTTTTTAAAATTACAATTACTGTAATCGTAATCTAAGTTTGTTCGATGAATGATTATAATAATTTTAAAGTTAAAATTTTTCTAATTAAAATTTTTTGAGCAATGTTAAACGAAGTAATTCTATAAATTTGCGAAATATAAATGCGCGCTTAACGATAATATGAGGACAATATGTAATTATCTAAATCCTTATAACAGAAAGTACAGGATTACAATTAAAGTAATCGTTTCTCGAACGAACTTGGATTAGGATTACAGTAATCGTAATTTTGACTTTTTTAAAATTACGATTACTGTAATCGTAATCTTAGTTCGTGCGATGAAGGATTACTGTAATCGTAATCTTGTTTTATTACCTTGTTGGGATTACTGCAATCCTAATCATTTAGTAATCGTAATCCTTATCGCCCAGCTCTGCTTCTCCACCATTTTCTTTTTTATCGACTTCACAGAATGAGGATGCTACGAGGAAAGAAATTACTTTTTCTCTTGCACATCAAGCTTTGCTTTACTTTTTTTTTTAAATCGTGGCTAAAGTGACGCCAACTCAAACATTGCGTATCNTTCGACTTCACAGAATGAGGATGCTACGAGGAAAGAAATTACTTTTTCTCTTGCATATCAAGCTTTGCTTTACTTTTTTTTTAAATCGTGGCTAAAGTGACGCCAACTCAAACATTGCGTATCCATAGTTTAGTTCGGATTTCCTTTGCTGTTGATAACACAGGACAACACTGACTTGGATGCGGCAAATGTTGAAGACGTTTTTGATAGACTTGTATGTGTTGAACATATGATAATAATAATATATTGGCGCTTACACATATGTTAGTGTTTGGCCGAGCTTCTCCTCCGACTTGTGGCGTGTGCCTTGATGTTGTCACACAAAGCGGCGATTGTATTTTTATGAGAAGCTGTTTTTCATGGCATAAATACAGTCGGAGGTTTGCCATTGCCTGCCGAGGGACGACCGCTGTTAAGAAAAAACGTTTTTTCTAAATTTTTGCGATGTTGCTTTGACCAGGGCTTGAACCCAGGTGCTGCGGAGTGGAAGCGCGCACTTCTTACCACTACACCACAGCGGCCGACAGATATATTCTACAAAAGATGCTATCAGCTCCAGATTTTGAGAAAAACGTGGTCAAAGTGTCAAAAAATCAAGAAAAAAAGTGATTGAACGTTCCACTTAAGCTAAAATTTGAAATAAAACTCCCGACTACTATCCCTGAAAATACCATTCCTGATTTCTTTTTTTATCAAGATTTCGCTGAGGTTTCTTCGATGAAGCATGATGTTTCAAATGCGCAAATGGGTTAGTCAGGTTGCTGTTGCATAAAATACAGTAGTACTCTCCATTTTTGTTCTGCAGCCACGAACATTTATTTAGCCACTTCGAACGAAATTTCATTTTTAACTCTGGTTTTGCCACATTGATGTCTGAACATTTACGCATCATGGAGGCGTAAAAAATTTAGATATTTCGAAAATTTGTATTTAATACTTACAAGACTCAAATCAATACTAAGACGAAGTTAACCAAATTGCAGCGCTCAGCAACAACAGTAATAACATAATGATAAATGTAATGAGATTAGTTCATAAGTATACATGACTTACAGGACTATTCTGCGCTGGTAATAAAAGTTTTGTAACCGGTAAATTAAGTTCTTGTCAAATTTTAACCCCTTTTCGAATTCTGTGTACTCTTGTAAACGGTAAATTTTGTTACTATCTGATAAGCTGGTAACAAAGTATTTCCCCGTGAAATATGCAATGCCAGAATTTCCACAATTCTTCATAGCTGAATTGCTGAATATTTTAACGGCATTACCAACGTACCTAGAATCGCGGTGACAAGAACTGGTAACATTTTTTGGTAATGAAATTTTCCGGTTACAAAATCTTCGGTAACGTGCAGAATAGACCTGTTAGTGTAAGTTGAAGATATTCCTCTCTCTCTCTCTCTCTCTCTTCCCTTTATAGTACCTCTACATTCTATTTGCACGCAACCGATACTCGTAGATACATTAGGCATATACTTTTTTAGCCGATACAGTCGTAATTCGCCTTTTGAAATGCAATATCGTTCTCTTTAAAAATAGTGTATAACAACATAAATAGGAAAGACTGTGCCAAAGACAATACATTTAATATGATCCGAATTTTAAGTAAGCAAAGGCATGGGCTGAAAATCTGTCACATCTGTCAAAGTCTACCTAAAAAGATTGATGAGTTTAGGTACTTCTTTGAATCGTATAATGTTGATGTAGTATGTGTCTCTGAGACATGGTTCACTCCTCATCATAGCTATGACTTGTTTCATGTTAGTGACTACAAACTTTTTCGTCATGACAGAATCGGGCATGGTGGTGGTGTAGCGTTAAAAACTGTCTTTCGTGCAGGCTGAAATGCGTGTCCTCAAACACCAGCTCTATAGAATACATCTTTGTGGAAATTATAACAAAGTTAGATAAGATATTACTTGGATAGACCAAACAAACATATTGAATACTCTAATTTCATTGACTTTCTTGAAGACATAAGTTTAGCTCACCATAATACTGCCATAACAGGAGACTTCAATAATGACTTACTAAGCGATAACCACTTCTCGCTGTCCATGCAAAATCTTGGACTATTCGCTGTTAATTGCTCGATGCCTACGCATTTTACGCGAACTAGTAGTACATTACTAGACATTTTTTTCGTTAGTAAGAAGTCAAAAGCTCTTCTTTATGATCAACTTTCTATTCCCAATTTCTCCAAACATGATTTAATCTTTCTGACATACGACTTTGAATTTGATTGCAATTCGCGAAATAAATTCTATTTCTACCGTGATTTTATGCATAGTAAATACGATCAGCTCCAGATTGCCGTTGATGCAATAAACTGGGGATCAGTGCATAAAATGATATCTAGTGATGAACAAATCAGTTTTCTGCAAGACAAAATAAATACCCTCTTCGATCACTACGTAAAAAAGTCTAAACCCTCTTCAAACCGTCCATGGTTTAATAAAGAGATAAAAAAAATTAATTAGAGAAAGGAATTGTGTGTACAATAAATGGAAGATTTTCCGAACAGATGCGATCTATTCTGACTACAAGAAACTGAGGAAAGACGTGAATAGAGCAATAAGGTCTCAGAAAGGTAAATACTATGAGCACAGTTTCAGCGTAGCAATCGGTTCTAAGCAAACGTGAAAACGTATCCGTGAAATAGGAATAATCAGCAAAAATAAACTGTGCTCCGAGTCGATAGACGTAATGAGGTAAATAACAAGTTTTTAGATGTACCCACAAGCATATATGCTATGATGCGTACAACGCGCGCTCGGAGAGCATTTCTTGGAGGGTTTCCGTTTTGATTGCTTGGACGATTGGGACGTGGTACAGTCAATACTTGCGATCAAATCTAATGCTGTTGGTTTTGATGGTGTTCACCCTAAATTTCTTAAATGTATACTTCCTAAAATCTTACTTTACATTACTCACGCTATGAATACCATCATAACCACAGCTGTCTTTCCTACCAGCTGGAAAAGAGCCAAGATTTTGCCTTTTCAAAAACCCAACGGAGACTTTAGGCCGATTACGATTCTGCCTTACCTGTCCAAGGTTCTAGAGCACATAATGCATCGTCAAATTAACTATTTCCTGAGGAAAAATTCTCTGCTTTGGAACAGTCTTGATGTCAAGACACGAAATATTCAAAACCCATTGCATTTCAAAGAATAATTACACAAAATATATGCCGAACGAGATGTGCCAATATGTATTTCAGGGCCCTACCTGCGGTCTTTTATCTTTTACCTACTATTTCATATCATTCCAACCCTGCTTTTCCTAAAACTATAAAACCTTGAAATTATTATGTTTTAGTTGTAAGCTTTTACTTTATAATCAAATATTATTTACTTTTCACTATACTAATGTATCGTAAGCTNACCCATTGCATTTCAAAGAATAATTACACAAAATATATGCCGAACGAGATGTGCCAATATGTATTTAAGGCCCTACCTGCGGTCTTTTATCTTTTACCTACTATTTCATATCATTCCAACCCTGCTTTTCCTAAAACTATAAAACCTTGAAATTATTATGTTTTAGTTGTAAGCTTTTACTTTATAATCAAATATTATTTACTTTTCACTATACTAATGTATCGTAAGCTGAAATATAACCAATGGTTGTTGCTTAGATACTTTCTAAATAAATAAATAAATAAAAATAAATAAGTACGTTCTGAACGTCCGTAACTAGGTCGCCATTGTTGTTCTTACAGGAGTACGCCCTGGTCTTGAAACCTTCCGTAAGTCGCCTAACTCTCTGGTAAAATTTTCGGGAATTCTTCCTGTCGGCCAGCATTTCAAGCTCTTCGCACTCTCTCTTGTTGTTGCGGAAAATACGTCTCGCTTCTCGGATCTGAACCTATAGCGGTCACACACATAGCATGCGTTGCACCTGATCGCGGCGGGGCTTTGTAGGCGGCATCTTTTTTCTCTGCAGCTTCCTGACACTCCTCATCGTACCAGTTGTTCTTTCGGGCTCGCTGAAATCCGACTACCTCTTCGGCGGCGGTACTTAACGAGCAGGAAATATGACGGTTTGTTGAAGAGTGCTCTCTGAGTCCNTATAGCGGTCCCACATAGCATGCGTTGCACCTGATCGCGGCGGGGCTTTGTAGGCGGCATCTTTTTTCTCTGCAGCTTCCTGACACTCCTCATCGTACCAGTTGTTCTTTCGGGCTCGCTGAAATCCGACTACCTCTTCGGCGGCGGTACTTAACGAGCAGGAAATATGACGGTTTGTTGAAGAGTGCTCTCTGAGTCCAAAACACTGGAAGCATGCCTTCCGTCTATCACAACATGATCGATTATTTGGTTTCTCGGTTTTCGATCCGGAGACAGCCAGGTAGCTTGATGAATTTTTATGCTTGAACATAGTACTGCTTACTACCATGTTACGGGCCCGGGCGAAATCGATCAGCCTCAGTCCGTCGTCGGACGTTTCGTCGTGGAATCTGAATTTTCCGACGGGGGTTCCAAAGATCCCTTCCTTGCCCATCCTGGCNATCGATCAGCCTCAGTCCGTCGTCGGACGTTTCGTCGTGGAATCTGAATTTTCTGACGGTGGTTCCAAAGATCCCTTCCTTGCCCATCCAGGCATTGAAGTCGCCAAGCACGTACGTGCGCTCCAAGCTCTCATAGCAGAGATCCTTGGATACCTCATCCTTCTTTTCCAGATTAGCGAGATATTGAAGAATATCGCTTTGATGCGGATTATGGCTAGACGCTCGTCCACCGGGGTGAACGACAGTACTCGGCGACGGAGTCTCTCTTCCACCGCAAATCCAACACCGAATTTACATGGCAGCTGTATTAAACGTCGCAAAGCCCCAGGCATTGCTTTCCTTGCGCCGTCCAAGGAATTTCTTGGATGGCGATGATGTCGGCTTTTGTTCTTACGAGGACATCAACTAGCTGGGCAGAGGCACCTTCCCCATGAAGGGTTCGGACATTCAAGGAGCATGCCCTCAAATCGGATTCATTGAAACGTTTGCCGCGGTCGTCATCATAAGGGGGGTCACATCCGAGGCATTGCTTCGCTTTTTCACTGGAAGGCGGTTTTACGTGGCGGGCCTCGCAACCAAATACACGTTTATATAGCGAGCCGCTTGCTCCAAGACAGACACCCGCTTGCAGCCGCACCTACTGGTGAACAGACCTTGCAAACTTCAGTGAACCCTTAAACCGAATAAGTCGAAGTGGCCCCACCGAAGCTCCCTCTCTTTATGCCGTGGCCCAAGGTCCTACTCGGACTGGTTACCACATCTCGCACATGGATTGCTCGCGTTGCCCAGAGTGCGCGAACGAGGCGCCGTGTAACTGTAACTGCATACCCAGCACAACGGCTATACCCCATTGCACTTTTTCACTTAGAAGTTACATATATTAAATTCTGTTTGCTAAATGCGCATTTATGGTTCAGCAAACCAATGTTGGCAGATAAGATCATAGTAAATTTAGCCTTGTTTTTTTACGCAAATGCTTGCAAGAAACCAGCAAACGAGAATAAGTTGAGNTCTACGAAAAGTGGCAACACTGGATCATAGTAAATTTAGCCTTGTTTTTTTTACGCAAATGCTTGCAAGAAACCAGCAAACGAGAATAAGTTGAGAGAGCGTCCAAGCTTTACTGGATTTTTACGAGATACATTTTTACTAATAAAATAAAAAAACATGATTTGCGGACCTTTCATAGTTGTAATTGACAAAACAAATCTATTTAAATGTATAATAAGTTAGGATATACTATTTTTCTAAAAAAATTGCTTCGGAAAATAACAAATTGAAAACTTGCAACTTCTTGCTGGTTTTGTGTTTTCGTACTGTTATATAGAAAAACGTTATCCGCCCATTAAATTCAGCCGCAACGATGAAAAAACATACTGTTTTTTTCTAGATAAAGGATATCAAACTATTCGGTATGTATCTAATAAATGATCTTTTGTTTTAGCATACTTACATATGTATCTACATGTCGCACACGATCTTCAAAAGTGACACAACTCAAAATTACACGTTTGACAGTAAATGCGAAAAACTATTTCTTAGCACATGCTAGTCATATAGGCAAGGGAGACCTTACCGTAGGTTTTTTCAATAAATTATAACGAAAGTTTGCTCGAGCTTTTACTGAAAAGTAAATAAAACCTCTGTGTACATTTTTAGGGCATAATTTCAAATATGCCAAATTTCGAGTTGTGTCAATTTTGAAGATCGTTATATGTAGTTTTTTCCATAAGCAGAATAAAACAAACTGTATTTAATTAAAATGGATCACCTACATGGAGTACTCGAATTTCATGCAGAGCATTAGTATCTATGTATATAGCCCTATCTTAAGACATTGCAACTTTAAAAGGACCATGTTCTTTCCATATATTTTGGAGTACTCCTACGTTCGTGTACTGTGTAGTCTCGATTTTTGGCAGTTGGGCACAGTTTACAGATGTAAATCGAAATTTAACCATATGAGGTGGATATGTACGTAAGTTCTGGACGGATAATTTGTGCCAGCCACAAAATTTTTCCAGCGGGCTTTGTACCACAACTGTAACAACATACGCTGGCACTCAAGTTTATTTTTTTTACGGTTGTGTATAAAAATAATAACACAAGGCTTCTGCCATACCGACTCTGCCGACGATTGACTGTACGCTCAGGGATGAGTGGCCCTTTAAAAGAGTTTAGTTATATAGTATGTACGCATCTATAGATTTTGTTGACATTGTATAATCACTTCGTTCTACGCTTTTGATCGCTACTCATTTTTAATTTTGATACCCGAGCGCACTTGTGTACAAGGGTATTATAACTTTGTTCGGATAATAGTTGTTTGGAACAGCCAAAATGAATCGTGCTAAATATAGACATACTTTAAATTATATACAAAATTGCTTAGAATGCAAGGAGAAGTGTGTCTGTCCGTCTGTGTTCACGATTTCTTGCAAAAAAAAATTGAGATATGTCAACAAAATTTGTCATAAAATAAGACAGTTATATAGGTGTACATCGACAACCGCTTTATCGATTACCACCAAATTTGGTCCAATTACTTTAATATGTCGTAGCATATTATCGAAACTGCTTGATATTGGGAAAAAACACTCTTACTTATCATGCGGTCTACTGAAAGGAGAAAAAACTATATTTAATACGCGCGCCGGGTATATACATATCAGTTTCGCCCGAACTTATATTTATTTACTTGCTTAGTTTCATTTTTGCTGAATGCGTTGTGACGCCACTTATAACAGTTTATACAGTGATCACCCACTCTAAAAGGAGGTAAGATCCATGATCCAACTACACAAGATCTGACAAGATGAAGCAAAAGAAAAAAGTAAGTTTCTGGCTGACGTTTGTAATTTCGGCGCCATTTCTGTGAAAAGTAAACAAAGAATATGAAGACGAAGCATAAAGAAAAAAATTTAAGCAATGTTGTAGCACATGTTTGTGCTAAACTATTTATTATTTTTGTACGTGTTTTGCATCCAATCACTGCGCACTTCATTTTAATTAAATAAAAATATGTATTGAAAATCGCTTAAAAATCACTGAAATAAACCACCGACAAAATACACATAAAAAAAGAAGCAAAACAGAAATAGCAAACTTCAAAATTACGAACGTCGCACACTTTTTTCTCAATTGCTATTACAAATGGCTGCTTCTCAACCGGTCAGATCTGTTCTAATTGGTTCATGGGTAAGATCTGATCAGGGTTGATAATAAGAAGGAGCATGAATTTTGTTGATTCAGAGTTGTATACAAAATTACTCCGGTATGAGAGAGAGAGTAACAACCGTACTATGGCAGAGTTGCACAAGATGTGACTGTGAAATAATGACCGAAATTAATTACAAAAGCGCAAAAAATGCAAACTATTCTTTATTGATATATACTTTGCTTATACCCACGCAAGAGCCGCATTAACAAAAAACCAATTTCACCACATATGCCCCTATTATGAGTTGCATTCGATCTTCGACTGTGGTCGAAAGAGCTAATCGATCGAATTTTCATTTGGTATTATGACGCTCATTCGATGAAGAATAGCGCTATTGTGAATTTCGCTCGTTTAGGTTGTTCACAGTGGTATATTTTTCACCGCTGAGAAGCTTTGTTTACAAATCGAGCACACTAAAAAGTGTGCTTATACATATTTATGTAAATTTGTGCAAATTAGAATGAAATAAAAAGAAAGCGAGTGTATAAAAACGTGGTAAAATGAGTACAACGGAGTTCTGGTTCAAAGATTCGTCAGAGGATGAGGGCTGAGTAAACTGGCCAGGAGTAGCAAATGTTTAAGAGAGTTTAAGTGTAGTCTTTCGAGTATATTTTGACATAAAATATATTTAAGAAATTTGTCTACAGATTTATTATAAACTTCCGACTATCTAAGAGGCCTTTGTGAGCCAAATCTATTTAAAATATTTTAATACTATCAACAGCTCTACGATTTTATTCTTAGAGATCGTGCCAACTGAATATTGGGATTTTATTTCACAAGTAAAACCAGCCTTTCGAGCTTATGTTTTGTATTCACAACGTAAGAACTGCATCAAATTAAAAACTTTTTTTTTAATTTGTATCTACCCGCCAAAAAGCAAGAAAACAAATTCAAAATCATACATTTCTCAAAATTTTCTAACACTTCGCTACACCAACGAAAGCAAAATTCTATTCGACAGAAAATTTGATACTCAACGAAAATTTCGACACGCATAGCTCATAATACGAATTTCACTTTCAATCTTCGATAGCCAGCGAAGATCGAAGATCGAATGCAACTCATAATAAGGGCCATATGTATTTCATTTCAAACGTAAACAAAACCGCCGATTTTGACTTCGCTTTAGATGAATGATGCGTTTATACGCGTTTGCAACCGATGTGAGAAATAAAAAATGGTTTTTGTTTTTAGGAGTAGGGTGGGAGTGTCATTGATAAAATTAGAGCGAGAGAAAGTTTTTCTTACAAAACCTTTCATTATTGAATCATGGGTTTGTAATACTCTGCTGTTCGTTCTATTGGAAATTGTCATCATTTTCGCTAAAATTATTGACGTGTGTGACAAGTGCGACTGAGTATTCATTTTGATATTTATTTACTTGCGTTTTGTGATGCTGTCAACTAACCATTCATACACACATGCTTACAAATTTATAAACATGCATAAGTGACACCGTATATACAGTAATAAAACTTTTCGCAGTTTTTAACCATTTCGCCCCGAGGAGTACTTTGGGTTTTGTGCAGCGTTTTCTTTTTGCACGCACGGCAATACTTAGTGTGGTGGATTTCGCCTTATGATTAGAAAAAGTTATTTAGTAAATGTATTTCAGTTTCGCCGATAAAATAAATGTTCACAATTATGCATTAGGTATATAATATGTTGGCGTTACAATAGAAGCTCACAAATTAGAAAATAACCAAATATTTTGCAGCACAGAACGAAAATTGTATATCGAAGTTTTCGACCATTTAATAGTATCGCTTAAAAGTCGATTTGAAAACGACTTGACGATGTACATACGTGTATTTGTACGTGTTTATTGATATATCTGTACTGCAATGTTTTGGGACGGTACTAGCTCTTACTGCCAATATAGGAGTATTACATATATTGATGTAACTATGTAATAATGGTGCGCCTAAAAGATGCAGCAATTTCCATACCCAATGACAGTACGAATGGGAATTACTTTAAATTTCCATTTTAGCGTTACCTGATGACAGTACGAATGAAAGTTCCATAGATTGATTTCGCATGTTATTCTATTCGTAATAGTAGTTATAAAATCAATTGAATTTAAGACTAAAAGATGAAAATAAAATTATAGTTTCAAAAACTAAAAACTCGCTTTTATTACAATGTGAACTAAAAAGTAAAAAAAAATTATAGAAACACAGATTTCGTTTAAGAGGAATAGGAAGTTCCCTAACTTGATTTAATTAAACTGTTAAAACCAACCTAAATTACAATAATTGAAAATAAAATTAATTTTACCGGAAAACAAAGCGTGGGGCGCTTCTTTGATTTTATAGTTCTGCTATTGACAATATTCAATATTACTAAACTGAAAATGAAAAGTTCAAAACAGTTGAAATCAAGCCTTGATTATACCGACACATAAAGCGCTTTGGCCCAGTTCGCTGTGATTCAAAACGGGTGTATAAGCCGAATTTCAAAACGCGTTGAAACTGAAATGTGTATTGCCTCGAACTCGTTTTTAAATCCGTTTTTTATTTCTCACATCGGTTGCAAATGCGTATTGAAATTTGCCTTATACATCCGTTTTGAATCACAGCGAACTGGGCCAAAGCGCTTTATGTGTCGGTATAATCAAGGCTTGATTTCAACTGTTTTGAACTTTTCATTTTCAGTTTAGTAATATTGAATATTGTCAATAGCAGAACTATAAAATCAAAGAAGCGCCCCACGCTTTGTTTTCCGGTAAAATTAATTTTATTTTCAATTACTGTAATTTAGGTTGGTTTTAACAGTTTAATTAAATCAAGTTAGGGAACTTCCTATCCTCTTAAACGAAATCTGTGTTTCTATATTTTTTTTTACTTTTTAGTTCACATTGTAATAAAAGCGAGTTTTTAGTTTTTGAAACTATAATTTTATTTTCATCTTTTAGTCTTAAATTCAATTGATTTTAAAACTACTATTACGAATAGAATAACACGCGAAATCAATCTATGGAACTTTCATTCGTACTGTCATCAGGTAACGCTAAAATGGAAATTTAAAGTAATTCCCATTCGTACTGTCATTGGGTATGGAAATTGCTGCATCTTTTAGGCGCACCATTATTACATAGTTACATCAATATATGTAATACTCCTATATTGGCAGTAAGAGCTAGTACCGTCCCAAAACATTGCAGTACAGATATATCAATAAACACGTACAAATACACGTATGTACATCGTCAAGTCGTTTTCAAATCGACTTTTAAGCGATACTATTAAATGGTCGAAAACTTCGATATACAATTTTCGTTCTGTGCTGCAAAATATTTGGTTATTTTCTAATTTGTGAGCTTCTATTGTAACGCCAACATATTATATACCTAATGCATAATTGTGAACATTTATTTTATCGGCGAAACTGAAATACATTTACTAAATAACTTTTTCTAATCATAAGGCGAAATCCACCACACTAAGTATTGCCGTGCGTGCAAAAAGAAAACGCTGCACAAAACCCAAAGTACTCCTCGGGGCGAAATGGTTAAAGACTGCGAAAAGTTTTATTACTGTATATACGGTGTCACTTATGCATGTTTATAAATTTGTAAGCATGTGTGTATGAGTGGTTAGTTGACAGCATCACAAAACGCAAGGAAATAAATATCAAAATGAATACTCAGTCGCACTTGCCACACACGTCAATAATTTTAGCGAAAATGATGACGACAATTTCCGATAGAACGTACAGCAGAGTATTACAAACCCATGATTCAATAATGAAAGGTTTTGTAAGAAAAACTTTCTCGCTCTAATTTTATCAATAACACTCCCACCCTACTCCTAAAAACAAAAACAGTGATATTTCTTTTCCAAATTTCTTTGCAAGTTTTAAGAACATTTTTAAATTTTTAGTAGTGAAATTTTTACTTTTTAAATGTGAAGAAATGTTCTTCATTCGCTGGCCAACAAGACAAAATGGGTGAGAATCGTTGGACTACACAAATTCAATGTAGGCTAAAGAGACGAAATTCCCTTAAATGCCGAAATATATTTGTCGATATTCGTGGAGACCTCTTGATTCTGCCAAGTCGCTGTAAAGTAAAGCGTGCAATAGTTTTGGTAAATGAGCCAACGAAGGTGGCGAATGAGACTTTGACGCAATATAACATTGCATCCATAGGCCCAATCGTCACACGACAGCTTGGTTTAGTCAATGGCGCGATGTAATTGCACACTTAAAAGGTGTACGCACAAGGCGAAGGTTGGCTGGCGACCAACTTTGTTGAAAGCGATTAGTTGAAAGGCCGTTCAACCAAAAGTAGAATGCAAAGTTGAACAATGCAAACGGCGAATATTTTGCTATTTTTTATATTTTGATATTTTTAGTCATTCAAATTTTTTTTTCGTGCATCCCGCCGTGAGTTGAACGCAAAAGTTGCATGAAAAATCGCCTCGTGCGAAAGCCCCATTACACCACTTCTCATTTGACGATGTATATCACGTTCCCTATCTCAGTCGTTCAGTAGCTGCGTGTTCTTTTTATTCTTCCTGAGTTCGTCCGGCACGAATCGCCAATTGCGGCTGTGAAAGCCAGTGTTGAATATTCTCCCCAGAACATTAAAAGTGCGACATCAAAGAAATCGAATTACCATATTCGAAACAATCGAGACATAACCGCGAAAGAAACGTAAGCTCCAAATTTTTTTTTTGCCGTTTTTTTTTAATAAATATTGCATATTTTCCGCAAACAAACAGCTTCTTCATATCCATCATCTGGCAAACAAATACAACAAAAAATAGCTGAAAGTGGGCCATCCATTCTCGAGTTATGCGCCATCTGACGTACGCAAGTTTGGTATATACATAGAAATATATATTTTTAATAAAATATTAAATATTAAATAGTTCTTTAAATTAAATAATTAAATCAAATTCGTTTTTGTTTTAAAATACCACCATTCACTATTATCCAAACCTTTTTATGGAACTTAGCTCCCATTTTAGGAAGTGTGATTAAATTCTTCCCCTTTTTCTCCTGCTTCCATAAACCATCCCTGTGGGTGGGAGTGCCAAATTTTAGAAAAAAGCTACTTACAAAACCTTTAATAATNCAATCGTCACACGACAGCTTGGTTTAGTCAATGGCGCGATGTAATTGCACACTTAAAAGGTGTACGCACAAGGCGAAGGTTGGCTGGCGACCAACTTTGTTGAAAGCGATTAGTTGAAAGGCCGTTCAACCAAAAGTAGAATGCAAAGTTGAACAATGCAAACGGCGAATATTTTGCTATTTTTTATATTTTGATATTTTTAGTCATTCAAATTTTTTTTTCGTGCATCCCGCCGTGAGTTGAACGCAAAAGTTGCATGAAAAATCGCCTCGTGCGAAAGCCCCATTACACCACTTCTCATTTGACGATGTATATCACGTTCCCTATCTCAGTCGTTCAGTAGCTGCGTGTTCTTTTTATTCTTCCTGAGTTCGTCCGGCACGAATCGCCAATTGCGGCTGTGAAAGCCAGTGTTGAATATTCTCCCCAGAACATTAAAAGTGCGACATCAAAGAAATCGAATTACCATATTCGAAACAATCGAGACATAACCGCGAAAGAAACGTAAGCTCCAAATTTTTTTTTTGCCGTTTTTTTTTAATAAATATTGCATATTTTCCGCAAACAAACAGCTTCTTCATATCCATCATCTGGCAAACAAATACAACAAAAAATAGCTGAAAGTGGGCCATCCATTCTCGAGTTATGCGCCATCTGACGTACGCAAGTTTGGTATATACATAGAAATATATATTTTTAATAAAATATTAAATATTAAATAGTTCTTTAAATTAAATAATTAAATCAAATTCGTTTTTGTTTTAAAATACCACCATTCACTATTATCCAAACCTTTTTATGGAACTTAGCTCCCATTTTAGGAAGTGTGATTAAATTCTTCCCCTTTTTCTCCTGCTTCCATAAACCATCCCTGTGGGTGGGAGTGCCAAATTTTAGAAAAAAGCTACTTACAAAACCTTTAATAATAGAATCATGTTACAAACCTACTTATGTATGTATGTACATTAGACTGACAAAAAAATCAACCAATTTTTTTTTATTCCCCCTCTCCTTTATTTCCGGGCGGATGTCAAAAGATGCCTGTTAAAGGCGCAACCCTTAATATTAAGTTTAAAAGGTCGCGCATCGCGGATTTCAATTTTCCATATAAATTACTTAGAATTTTTTATTTCATATTGGAATTTGTTTTCTCGTCTTTGAATTATCGTACTGAAAAGTGCGACATATATTTTTGTAGGAAATTAGCCGCTACAAAAAAAAACGTCTCATATCATTTCTTGATAAACCCACTGGTTTAACGGTTATTCAAACTTTAAACTTAATTTTATAATAAATTTACTACAGTTTTTCCTCCTATTTTAGGTAAGATTGTCATTAAATATTGCCATTAGTTTTACAAAAATCCTGCAAATTGTAATTCCCTTTTCAAATGGTAGGAGATCCGACAAAGGCACGACCTTCACCAATCTATTTAATGGATGAAATCAACTTTGTATGAAATTAAACGTGTTAGGAAATATTTCGCGAGTGGGTTGGCTGAAAAAATCCTGGCCAGGATATTTTTAATTAAATATTCAAAAATTGTTATTATTTTTTTTTTAATTTTGCACTCATTTGTTTAATGTACAAATTACATATATATA